GTGCATTTTTAAAATTATGAGTGTTTTTTTTTTTATCGATTTGATGACAAATCTTATTTATGAGAAATGTATAAGGACAAAAGTGTTGATAAAATGTAATATATAACCAAATATAAAATAATAAGTATATTTAGCTGAATACACAAATGTTTATTGCATCAGTAGTTGTGCAATTACTCCCAGAGCAACTCAAGACCTCCCATTTGCCACCACTGGTCTTCCCCATTTAATGCCACTGGAATACATGTTATGTCATTCCGCTGCCACAGATAAGTCCCCAAAATGTCCTGCCAGTTAATTACTTTGTTAAGCCAAAGTAATTGAAATTCTACAGTGTTATTACAGACTTCAACTGAGTTGTTTACACATAAAAATGTTCAACTTGTGCTTAGCCAAAATTTGGATGAATTAATCTGTACTTTTTTTGGTGAGCAATTGTTTGTACTGAGAATGAACACAGATGTTTGGGAAAAGCCCCTGTGTGGAAGCCATTTTGGGATTAAAAACTAGTTTTAATTGTCTTTTAGCTAGTTTTATTTTTTCTGTTCCATAATTTGTCATTTTATTTAGTCTTTTTTTTTTCAAACGGCAAAAAAAGTTATTGGAATGGAAACTCTTACAAAGAGTTACTTGAAGTGGAGAAGAAAACTAATAGCTGAGAAGCTGAACTTACCCCACAACCGCTCCACACAAATGCTGCTCCGTGTTTGTGGAACAGTATTCCATCACAACATTGGTGAATGCACCCCCTGATTTGAACAGCTTGTATTATCAAGACTGTGCACAGCATTGGAAGCCGGACTAGATGTTGCACGACCTTGTATGTTGCGAGGTGTTTTATTGTATTATGTGCAGTATGTAACAAAGACAAAGTCAGCGCAACCCATTGGAGATTAAATGATTTACTGAAGTGTGAAGCTTGTGTCCTGGTTTGATTGTTCTCACACACGCGCGCGCGCCCCAATGTGTTGGCACAGATCCTGATCCTCCAAACGGCCAAAAACGAGGCATCCATGGCTCTGGGGTTCTTTCTTGAAGCTGCAAAGAAACCTGACTTTCCATCCAGGTACTCTACGCCATCTTGTTTTGCTTTTGATATTAACATTTTAATATATAAATAATTAATGCTCCATTCCCCAGCATCCATTCAGTTGAAAAGTTGTTTCTAATAAAATGACCACATGGGGGTCTTGGCTATGTTTTGCAAAGCCGAGAGATAAAAACCTGGCAAAGAAAGGTCAAAAATCCCGTAAATGTAGCTTTGCAGTCCTAACCTTGCATCCTGGAGGGCAGTGTATCGGTGGCATTTGCCCAACAGTGAGATTGTTTTCGTTATTTATCCATTAGTTGCTTTCCAACTGCAGAGTCATAAAACACTGCAGACGGTCATCAAGGATTTGTGCTGATTGTTGATGGAATGGGACTAAATATCACAGCATAGTATTGCACTCAATGAGAAGAAATCACTATTTCAGGACTAATATCAAAAATCTTTGATACCTTATAGTTGAATGATTCATTTGGTAGTTGTAAGTGCAGTTTGATATTTATTGGCTCACCAGTGTTTGTTATAATAATCACAGGAATAACACTGAAACCATATTTCTTCACTTATCTGTCTCAAACTTGTATCTCGCCTGTCTGGCTGCAGAAATTCCAGGTTGTTGTTACTGAAAGTGTGAACCCTGCTGCTCTGGAGGCTGATATCGACCACGCGCTGGCTACAGAAAACTAGATGGCACCTGCTGTTATGTCACTGTTTATAAAGGTGAGTGAGCTGCCATAGCTTGGACTGTGATCAGTAGCAATAATAATGTGTTTTTCTCTGCTTCATAAGTGTTGGAGCT